TAATTAATATATATTAAATGACCTTCTAAGGTCATTTGGGCCTTGAAATGACAAATGACTAGTCATTTGTCATTTGGATCATTTGGGTCATTTCAGGTCATTTACCATCCCTGGTCTGTAGAGGTTCAGAAACTTAACCAATAAGCCATAGGGCCCAAACCCTAAATGAATTAAATAATAAAAAAAAAAACAATCATTGTAATTAATATAAAAAAATTACAAAGTTTGAAAAAAATTTTTTAATTACCAAACTGTACATATTGAGTAGATTTAAGTTTCTTCATCTCGAATTTTTTGCCTTGAATTTTTGCCTCGATTTTTTGGTTAGTACTTTCAGCTTGTATAAATAAAACTAAGTAGAAGTAACGGCATGAAACTTCAAATATAATGCTACTGTTAAAGTTTATTATAATAAAAAGAAAAATAATTTGATGGGCTATAATACTAAACACACAAAAAAAACAAATACGATCTTAGTTTACAAAAATAAACAAAAAAATAGACCAACTTGCTCAAAATTGAGAGAAAGTAAAAAATATTAAACTTGTTAAGAAATAATAAATTTACTAGCCAATTATTGTAAATTATTGTTTGGATAACTTTATTTCATGAGTGGGTTATTGGTTGCTTATTAAAATTTAAGACAAAATTTGTCAATGCCACCCATTTTAATAGATTTTAACCCAGAATTTTGATTAATCAGCCAAACTTTAACTTTGTAATTAATACAGTATACGTTTTTATAAACTTGACAAACTCGCCGCTCAACGACGGGTTCAGTATCTAGTTACATTAAGAATATACACAAATCAACTACTGATAAAATATTCTATTCAAGGTCATATAATTAATTTTTTTCATTATAATTTTCTTTGCTAGAAAACGCCTCAGCATCCTCTTTAGCTTTCTCGACATCAATTGTGCCAAAAACTAAAGCGGGAAAAAAAAATTATTACAAGTAAAAATATATAAGTGATTCTTATATTATGAGTATAATTTACTATAATTCCCGATACAATAGTCCCTACATTATTATAAGAATTTTAATTAATATAGTTACGTAAGTTTAGAATTTAAAAATCTTTTAAAAAAAATTTTTCTTACCTATCCAACTTGAACCCTATTTGTTTAAAAATGAAATAATAATGCTTAAAAACGTACAGTAATAAGAGACAGTAACAAGTCAAAATAAAAAAAAAAACTTTTTATGAAATTACCTTTGAAGTCATCTGAAACAAAGAAAAAAATTCATTTTCATGTCCAACAGGTATCATAATAGCGAAGAAAGCTCGACAATAATTATTTACTGAACCAATAGAAATTCCGAACCATATCAAGTACAGCCAAATCTCCCATTTGTTTTTTGCTCCGAATGGTAACCAAAAACCCAATAATACATATAGTGGTATTAAACTTGCAAATATACAAGAAATTACAACGATTTTTTTTTCAGTCAAATGAAATAATTTTTGTAAATAAAGAAATATAGATATGCCAATTATTTCGAATAATGGAACTAGTGTTGACATTAGAGCAATTTCTGAGTCGGTCAATCCAAGTTCTTTTCTACCGAGCAGAACACCGACTACTATTAATGTGTTTACACCATCAGATACAAAAAACCAGCCCAAAAGACATTTCATAGTTTGCCAAAGTGAACGAGTTGATAATAAGGTTTTCCCCACACGTTTCCAAGAGTATAATAAATAATTTTCACCACTATTAAGCATTTATTACATGTATTAGCATTAATATAATTCAAAATTCAATATTAAAATAGCAGGAAAGGAAGAAATTGGAGAAATACCTTGGTAAAGGAGGTTTTGGTCTCTTAGTTAACCACATTGCCGGAAATATTAATAGAATCTAAATAATTCATATAATTTTTTTCAATGTTTAAATTTTTATCAACAAGTTTAATATTTAACACATACCAACCAACAAGAACCAGCAAATACTAATGCAATTTGAATGGCATATGGAGAGTCTTTTAATAATACGAGAATTCCACCAGTAGCAAACATTACTACCATAATAGCAAAAACTGCCACAAGTAATGATTTCGATGAGAATTTAACGGTCATTTTATCTTCCAACTTTTTAATTTCGGAGACAGGAACATCTAAATTTTTTGCATCTATGACCTTTGGATGATTTCGAGCAAATATTGGGATATATGCAATAGTAAAGATGTTTGATGCACCGAAACAACAATTTCTGAATAATTTAATTATTATGAGTACATAAATTTTTAAAAAATATTTTTGACCAAAATTTACGATATAAAACTTACGATATGATAGCGAATACTCCAGCTAACAAATATAATTCTGTTGGAATTTTTTAAGGTAAATTAGTAAGTACAATGATTGTTATGCTTTTATTTTAAAAGTAACACATAATCAACAGTTTTAGATGCAATTATGCTAGAGGAGATACGTACGAGGTCCAGTAACAGTTATGAACAAAATTGTTGAGATGGCACCTATTAAGCCGTAAAATAAGGCAAACATTTTTTGCATATCTAAAATAACGCATAAATTTTTTTTTAATTTTAAATGTTTATTATTATCTATAAAATAAATTGAAATACCATGTATGCTTACTTCCATGATCGGCTAAAGAACCGCAACTAACGAATAAGATTGTTTGTACTAATACTGATATTGAAATCATGTATAATGAATACGAGTTGGTATCGATAAAGCCTGTACCAAAACGTACAACACAATTATAATTTGCAACTGTCTATTCATTAATTAATCAATTATAATCAATTAGAATGCTTAATTGCAAAGAAACTATATGTATAACATAAAATACTTACCGTATTACATGGAGTCACGAGATCAAGTTCATACCCAGCCTGACCGGATAGATTTTCCAAGAGTAAAGGAATGAGCACTATATTCACAAGTATGTATAAATAAGAATTTATATCTAGGTATCTCATATTAAGTGGAAAAAGAATTTACCTCCTATTGGAGCACCGCCATAAATCCCGTTCTACGAAAAACAAATTTATCATAAATTTTCTATCATGACCTGATAATTAACAATTCATAGAAACTTCCTATTTTCGTAAAAGTATCTTGATATTACGTTTTTTTTCTCTGATTTAATTACATAGAGATATGATTATGTCAATCTGTATACAATATGAAATCATAACTTCTGATAGGTACTGTACGTATCATTTCGTAGAAAATCATTTCAGACATTTTATAGACAAGTTCATTTTGGATACCGCTAATTTGCAGATAGTTACGGTATTTTATAAATAATCTTTGTGAATAACTTCTAATCTACTAATCTATTTTGTATAATTTGATCACCAAAATAAACATCTCATCAAATCAATCACTTTGGTAATTAAATTACCCAAAAGGACCAATAGATCAGAAGCGAGAGATAGTTTATAAAATAAACTGTCTGTAAAATAAACTCTTCAAAATGAACTTTTCTATGAATTAATTGTCCTTGAACTTGTTTTCTATAAAATGATACGTATGTACCCACTTCTGATACATGATGATGCATATGCATGTACATGCACTAGAAATAATTACGTTTTAAATCTTAAACATTAGTACTGTAATGGTGTTTGAGATTATACATAGAACGTGTGATTACGTATTAATAGTAACAGAAATCTTACCGCATTATAAAGCAATCAAATTGAATTCTATTTATTATAAATATCCCTTGAATTTAATATCATACCCAAAGAAAAAAATTATCTTGAGAATATTATTATCGTAATGAATTTGGAAAATCCAGACAAAGAAAATAATTCTAGTAAAGTCAGCGGTATGTTGACACCCTTAACAAAAAGAGAAACGATAGGATGGTATTTTCTTTCTGCAGCAGTAAGTTTTTGTCCAACCATTCCTTATTAAAAAATGGTAATTCATTTATTTTGTGGTAATAAATATTTTTATCCGGCAGCTTACTATG